CTTTCAACTTCTCCACTTCCTTCTGCCGTCTCCCTACGCTCCTCGCCAACTCAAGGCCCCAAAGCTCCGTTCTCCTTTGAACTGAAAGTTGCTCCCAAACATGATAAGTCGATTGTAAATGCTCACAGACCTGCGCCTCGAGCGTGGCCGCTGCCTCTTCCGCCTTCTTCACAGCCTCGCGCACATCGCGAGGAAAGGATGCTTTAGAAGGAGGGTATGTCAAATCCTCATGCGATGAAGTAGTTGCCGTAGCACAAGCTACCTTCCATTTCCTAAATTCTTCTTTGAAGTATGTCTTAAGCGCTTCGAATTGCTTCTGCGCCGGGGGCTGTATAGACCAAGAAGACGATGTCGGGTGCGGCGTAGAAGAGAATAACGTAGGAGGTGCTTGGAGACATTGGAGAGTGAGAGCGGGGAAGTCAAGAGAAAGGGGGTCGAAATCGAATGGAAGAGAGTCCATATCTATTTGCTGCCTGAATCGACGTAACCAGTTAGTATCACGTAGTAACATGTTGGGAAGATATCCTTACTTGGCAGCCCTCCACGAACTAAGCAGCTCTCGAAGTGCCAGCTCGGCAGCCCTTGCTGTGTCCATAGCATCCGAAAGCTTCTGCCTTGCATCCAACTGAGATTTCTGAACCGTTCTACTCGGTGCACGCTGCATGGGAAGCCGCCTGGAATCCTGGCCGCTACCATCGTCTGGGTTGCTCTTTAATTCCCCGCTCCTCGCCGGAATATCATTGATTACACCAGTAGCCTCCCAGGTGGGCTGAAAGGGATATCTGGGCATCTGGTGATCTACGACAAAATGACCATCTTTCAATATAGCATTCGGCTTTGCGATAGAGTCGGGCGCGGGGCTCTTTCTCGAAGAAGTTGTCGGGGTACCCGGAGTCGAGGTATCTCGCCGCGCTAGAGAGCCCCTTGGCTGTCTGCGGGTGATGCTTCCTCGCATCTTCTTAATAGCTTCAACATCGTGAATGCCGTCTGGGGCTTTAGGATTCTTCTCTTTGATATACAGATCTAGATGCCTTCCCAATGACGAAGATGTGAACGCCTGACCACAATACGGGCAATTCCTATCCTTTGCCGCGCTTGCTTTGGCACCGCCCGGAGATTCGGCGGCGGCAGCGGGTATTGTTCCCTCGGACATGGCTAGGGAAGCTCGAGTTGGGCTTAGACGAAGATTGTTTAATAAACAATATTATTATAGTTTAGATTGGATAACAAACAGCGTGAGCGTGCGAGAATATGGCGATCGTAGAGGAGCAAAAACCTGAAAATAAATATAGGTATATATTATCTTCAACAGCTGCCCCGAGGGAGCATCCTCCGTCCGGATCTCATCCAGGAAGAAGGCTCCCGAAAGGAATCCTAGGAGTCAACAAAGAGTCTTGTAATGTCTTGGTCATTTATGTCAGAGAGCTGTTACGAGAGAAGAAGGAATTGGTGTGGTTTCTTGCGAAAAGTGATATATGTAAGTGTTAGTTAAATGTACCTGTTTCTTTGAGAACGAAATGTTATGTTTGGTCCCTTTTTTTTTTCTTGGGGGATTTTCCGTTCAGGGGGGCCAGGGGCTACCTTAGCTTAGAATACCTACCTAGGTATCGCATGTACTTTTCTTACGAGGTACAGAGGTATTTATTGTATGTACAGCGCGGTACGTTAGCGTTAGCGTGGACTTGATTATTTCTATCCGAGGTACCTACCTATTTCTAAATAGTCGCGTCTATGACAAGACAAGCAAGCACTACCTATATATATACTATTGTAGATTATATATCTGCGTACCTGATATAGTATATTATACAGTTTCATATAGCGTGTTCCTTATATATTTATCAAGTAACATCAGTCACTTTCACCTTGCAGAACGTAGCAGTCTACAACCTTGAACATTGAAAGCTTTACCCAATTGCTATATACACTGTACGCGTGGATGTGAGCACTGTTTCAAAAACAGGTACGCTACTGAGGCAGAACCGGGAATGGTGGGTCTAGAAGCAGGTCTAATGTAGCTTCTAAGGTCCGCGTATGTACATATCTTATTCCGCTCAATAGGAGTTCTAAATTTGTACTCCACAGATGAGCCTAACCAAGATAGTAATAGACTCTTGGCTCTTGACGGGCCAGCTGCTTGCAGCCGTTGGATACATACTAAAATCGTCTACCATAGAAGAAGTATACCTAGGTACATATGAAGTACGAAGTACGGAATATATCAATATTACCAAATAAAGCACGGACCAATTCAAGCTCTGCAACAACAAACTTACAAACCCATAGTTAACCTAAGTACCATAACTCCAGTTCTACTTTGATTTGTCGCAATAACTTCATCGCAGCCCTGCTATTTCTACTTGCTCCGTTTCTTCTGTTTTCTGTATCGATTGTTCCCGTTGATCAATCCGCCCCCGGAGGACCAATCTAGCCATCATACACGTTCCCTTCCGCGCGAGGCCATAATGCCACCTGGTATGTCATCCAATTCGATTACGACCTCGTCGCAAAGTTGACTTCAAATTACGCGAGCGCGATACACCGGCGCCGTTTCTCCCTCCCTACCCATTCGAAGCATGATTAATTTTGAGTGATCCTTCGCATCGATTGAAGCTAACCATTTACTCGTAGCTATTAGCGACGACGAAGCCTCCGACGTTGGCGAAGTTACCGTTCCTCTACTTTCGACGCGCGGAAAGAAGAATCGGGCTAGTATAGAGGATGAGAATGACGAGATGCGTGGTACGAAAAACAAAGTCGTAAAAGACGAGGTCGCGAATGGCGACGGCGACGATGGAGACGATGGACAAGGAGAAGATGACGAAGACTTGGGCGAGGATGAGTGCGTAGCGCACCCGCGTAAATGAAATTTTTTTTTTAAAAAAAAAGAAGCCAAGCAGCTGTTGCTAACTGATGTCTAGATATATCGTCGAGAAGATTCTCGCTCACGTCGTCGAACCCGATGTAAGTGACATGCGGATACTCGTGTCGAAAAGCCTGCCAACAAATTGTATAGGGCGCATTAAAATTTAAGGTCAAATGGGAAGGTTGGGAGAAAAAATCGGATCAGACGTGGGAAAACTACGAGAGCCTCAGGTTAGTACGATCATTTCCGATTTGCTATTCTATAGGCGGTTCTCGACCCCGTCTACGTACCAGTTCGCGTTGCCTAACAGTCTTCGATCAGCGAGAACGCTTCCGACATCGTAGAGGAGTACCTTAGTCGCTTCGGCGGATTAGAAAATATTCTAGATGAAGGGAAATCGGCACTGAAGACGAAAAAGCGCGGTCGACCTGCATCGGGAACCCCGACCAATGGCACGAAGCGGCGGCGCAACGAAAGCCATCCTGCGTCAGAAACCCCTCCAGCTAGCAACCGAGCCTGGAAGCCTCCGGTAGGTTCCTGGGAAGATGAGGTCGAGTCTATCGATGCTTGCCATGATGAAGCCAAGGGCAAGCTGGTCGTATACCTTACCTGGAAGAACGGAAACAAAACCCAGCACGATACCAAGGTCGTGTACAAACGATGCCCGCAAAAGGTAAGTTGGCAATATTAATGTACTATTCTCAACATACTGGCTAATAGATGTTTGCAGATGCTTCAATTCTACGAACAACACGTCAAGATTGTTATGGCATCAGATAGCGCCGTCAAGGATGAATAACGAGCATCATAGATACGAGCCGAGTGAGTGCGTCGGTTAGGGGGTATTCAGAAGACTATAGTCTAACAGGACTCAATAGGTAGCCAAAATAGCGACACTGAGTAAGGGCTTGGATGATGCCTCAATACTAACACTAACACAAATACTGGGTTCTTATATGAATTTCTAGTCTGTACAATGAATGGTGGATAATCGCAAGGATACGAAAGGTCTCAATACTATACACATCTACCTACATAGGTTAGGTTATCGGCAGAAGACGCGGTGTCGACGCGATGCGAGCACGATGACTTGGTCAATTGGCGAACGCGTTGAGAAAAATTCTAATCTTTACTTTTTCTTCCGATGACTTCCTACTTAATTGTAATAGCTACTGGTCCGTCTTGGCAGCCTCACGTTGTTAGAATTGAAGGCATATCTACAGTTTTCAATTGTGAAATCATCTGGTTGTCTGGTTGTACCCCTGTATACAATTGACGGCATGTCAAGGCTACATAGCACATATACATACACGTAAGTACATTTGACATAGGTAGGCGTGGCATGATGCAGCTCTGCAGCTCGAAATCCGGAGGTTGGGGAATGAGACGCTAAAACGGTCCTAATGTTAGGTTTTGAAGCTCGGGCCAGTTTTCTCCCTTGCTACCCCCTGCATCAAGCTACTGCCAACCACCGGGTCAGAAAGCTAACGTACCCCTGCTCTTCCCGACTTACCCTACCGGTCTAGGTACCCCCCGGCCGCCCAGCTGTTCGCCGTTCGCTGTTCGCTGTTCCAAGCAGCTAAGAAACCTCCTTCCTGCCTTGCGGATTTTTAGGCCCAGCCTCGCTATTTACTCGAATAGAATGGCGGGGCAACCGACAGTATTTGTACCTCGATGCCCATTCCATTCGCCATGTCTTTTTTTTCTTCGTTCTCTTTTTGCTACCTTTTATGTATCTCGCTTGCTTACGATCTGAATAAAGTACAATTTTATGTTCTGTTCTGTCTTTGAATTTTTTATATTCAAGCGGCATTGAAGTTATTATTACATAGATCCGTTCCTGACTGTCGAAGGGAACCCATCCATCACTTCGCTATCTACATACATATCTATCGTTGCTTATCGTTATCGCGTCGACGATACGTTGCCCAGCGTCGCATCATTCGATAACTTAGGTACCTACCTATTTTAGACGACGACAAGATCAAGAGTGTCTAGTTGTTAATTCGTCTTGACTAGCCCGACAGCTTAATCCCATTGGAATTTGACTACATAGGCTAAAGAAATACGTCGCCATCGTCTCAAACCACTCCCCTCCACTTACACCCTCCTTCTTTCCAAACAAACCGCAAGGATGAAGGAAAACGACGTCATCGCCATCATCATTATCCTCCTCTTCATCGTCCTAGCCCTCATCGCCTTCGGTATCTACAGATTAGTCCACATGGCCCGGGCACAAGGCACAGTCTCCGAAGAGAGCGGGACAGGATCCGGTATAACGGACGACGAGTAAGACTGGAACATGTCTTATACAGAAAGATAATCTACGGCTGAGGTTTTGCCTTTTTAATCTGGGCCTTATCTCTTAATTCTTTATTCGGCGCCGTCATAATTTCCTTATTCGGAAACCCCCTTCACGGCAGCCGTCTCCACCCGGCGATGTCGTCCTTGGGGGTTCGGCATGCTTTTATCACGCGGTATGTCTACGCGGAAAGGGCAGGGTTTCCGAGTCGCAAAGCCAGGGCTTTTCCGGCTATAATCGAAAGCCACTCGCAGAAGCGCTGGCGGCTACATAGACGTGGCCGCTGAGTCTGGAATATAACATTCCCACTTACATGCATATATTTACGGCATTTACGATCTGTATGTATATAAAAGGAGAAACGGGTATCAGGGATCACGGGTGCGAGTACGCATCATATTATTGGGACTTGGATGCGAATGTTTGATATTTTGGGCGACGTATATCATGTGGATTGTTTGTTATCTCTTCGGGTGACCTAGGTGGCTACGAGCGGTGAGGGATTGAGGACATGAATATAAGGAGAGGAACACGCGTGCAATGAGCCACATGATGTAAATATGTATATGGAGTATATCAGATAGAGGTGGAGAGTTCGAAATAGTCACCTGGATAATGGAAGGCTTTCGAATCTACCCTCGAGTCAGCTCGAATATTTTATTCTATACTTACTTACTCCACCGTGCTATGCCTCCTACTCTGCCCTATGTGCACGAATAACCTTCACTTCCCAGTATCTTCGCCGATGTATACCCTCGCACGTAGTAGAGGATATCCTATTTTACATTCGCAAGAGACTAGTATATCGTATATCGTATATCGTCTTACAACGCAGGGCAACACCCCGAACCTCTATCCCGTGATGAAAAAACCCAAATATAAGATAGAAAGGGTACAACAAGAGGTCATGAACAATACCCCATAGATAAAACACAACTGATTATTAGAGCGCCGTCTAGTCTCCATCCTGCTATTTTCTATCCAGCCCCCAAACTCCATGCAATGCGTATATATTCATGGAATATCCGCCCTCTTGAACGTACTTCTCTTACCAGGTGGCAAATACGGATCTTGGAAAACTGCTCTTGGATCCTTTTCAAGCTAATACAAAAAATCGATGTACAACCAAGCTAACTAACACATCCCTTAGACATATAGTTCCGTATGAAGTAGCATGCTTCGTACCGAACCCCAATGCACACGTCATCATCCGTATGCTGCATACTGCGGATGGCATAAAACTAAAAGATGCCAAATCTGGAGTTTCCTGTTATATACTCCTAGCCAGGCCCGTCCTAAATGGTATCGTAAAGTTGATGTAAACGTATAGTCGTGAAATATATTTAGCTCGAAGCTAGGCTTGAAGTCGTTGCTGAGTTTTAACGTAACCGCCAGGTGCTATACCGGCGTATATATATTGCTAAGATCGACTAGTCTTGCCATCAGGTTCAAAGGAGAACCACCCCCCTCTTTCCCAATTACCCGGTACGTAGAGAGATTCGGCGCGAACCCTGTCGTTAGTAATTCCGTCAAGCAAGACGTTAAGCCTCTTGAAATCGATCGGCTTTAAAATCCAGCCGTCAAAGCCAGCTTCAACATAAATCGGTCTCTCCCGCTCCACTAGAGACGCCGACACGGCAAAAATAGGGGTTCTCTCATGGCTAGCCGCTAAATTAGAAGGCTCTGAGTCCTTATCTGACTTCTCAAATGCTCGTATCATCTTAGTACTAGTAAGGCCATCAACAATAGGCATCTATAATTATTAGTTGTGCCTAACGTATTATTTGTTCATAACGACTCACTTGCATGTCCATAAGAATGACATCAAAGCCAGTTGGCTTTTCTTTGTAAGCAGTAGCACAATCTTCGCCGTTGACCGCATGATATACTTCATGCCCAGATTTCTCTAGACGTCTTTGGAGTATCTTCATGTTGATAGGATCATCCTCAGCTACTAGCACTTGTAGTTTGTCCGAGTTCATAGGAGATACCTGTTTGGTTTTACCTGTTTGCTCCTCGTTACCCTTAGCATTTCCACCAGTCCCGGGCAGTACTCGAGATCTAGTAGCAATCAACGACGCTCCTAGTTTATCTGAATATTCATCTGGCACCTTTACAGGCTTTATGGACGTCTTGGTATCTGCAATATGATACTGACCGCAGGATGCGTCCGTGGGAGGTTTGGTCGGGCCCATAACTGGCTGCTCAATGCCGTCAATGGCTGGCGAATCAATCGCACCCGAGCCCGACAAAAGAACAGCACCGGCGTAAATATTGTCTTGTCGTTCCTTAGAATTCAAGCGTTGTAAGGTAGCGGTCCTCTCCTCGAGGGTTCCTATTGATAAAGGCGTCTGAATTGCGTCAATTAGGCGATCCGCATCACTCTTGTTGCTATGAGCACTGTTGCTAGTACCGCTCTTTATACTACTGACACTCTTAGCCTCGTCGAAGCTCAGACTTTCAGCGTTCGTGCGTCTCGACAGGTTGGTTGGAAGGGAATTCTTTCGGTCAACGAGCATAACTTCATTTGCATCAGCTAAGGGGAGAGCTTTGACGATAGGAGCGGTACTCGAAATAGCTTTGGAGTTATCAGCTGTATCGATATCGTCGGCTTTCCCCAGCGATTCACCTCTTGGCAATTCAAAAGGAAGCTGGATGACGAATCTTGATCCTTTCCCCTCTTCAGATTTTAGTCGCAGTTGGCCATTCATATTCCGCAATATCCTTGCAACCATAGCGAGACCTAGACCTAGCGAGCGGTCATTCCCTGGCTTATCGGTGTCATCAACAGAATTGTATGGATCCACATCTAAGCTAACTTGCTCCAGGTCTCGAAAGAGATCATCCAACTTCTCATTGCTCATACCGCGACCTGTATCTTGAACAACAATTTCAACTTTAACGCGCGACTCGAGAACTTCAGTGGCGTATGACTCAACCCTTATTGAACCTTCGCTCGTATGCTGCATGGCGTTTGCTGTTATATTTGCCACTACCTGACGTACTCGACGATAGTCGCCGTGGACATATCGGGGGAGGCCAGGGTGTTCGATGAGTTCGTAGGACAAAGCTTTTCGCTTAGCATCTCCTTTAAATGGTTCCGTCGCTTCGCGAATGCAGGCTGGCAAATCCAATATTTCGTCTTTGATCAACTCTTGACCCTCTTCCATGTTGGTGAGGTCAAGTAGGTCATTGATCACATAGATGAGCGATTTAGATGCTGAGTGAGATCTTGCCAAATTTTCTCTAGTCTCCTGGTCGAGTTGCCCCTCCATAGCAATCTCTAAACAATTGATAATTGCATTCAGTGGAGTGCGAACCTCGTGGGCAGAATTTGCAAGCAGAAGTCGAGTAAGTCGACTGTTCTGCAACGCAGCTTCTTTCTGCCTCCAGACCTCGATAAATTTACCTAGGTTAATGTAAATATCATTTTAATTTAAAACCAAAGGGTATGGACCGCTTGTTCATATACGTACCATATACTAAACAGAGGACGGCAGCAGTCTCCACCTGCTCTTCGGACCACTCCCTGCACTTGCCAACGACAACCTCACGCCACGCCTTGAAGCTTGATCGTGGTTCCAAATAACTCGAGGTGCCCTGGCGAATGAATTTTTCGTACGGATTGCCTGCCCACTTTACTTCTCTGGCTTGGCCTCTGCGGAAGAATACAATGAAATCGTTTCCGCCCATGCTTAGTGGAACGTACAAAAGGCCGGCGATGACTGAAAACCCTGGAGGGTAGTGGAGTTCTGGAAAGTCCTCGCGGATATCCTGAGTAGTCAATACGGAAGTGAATTTTCGCAAACGCAGATACTCCAACATGGCCAAGGCTTCTTGAGACTGTTCAATTTTCCCCAGTATTTTTGTCTCGCCCCGGATGGATAGCATACCAAAATCTGCATCAAACAGGGTTATAAGGTCATGAGATGACGCGGTAATATACCCTGAGGGGTTCTTGTCAGTCGGCATGGTATTGATAAGTTTCCTCGCCTGAAGGCGTGACGCGTACGAGAGTCGCTCGATATTGCGCGATGCCGTATCACCCACCAGCCGACATAGTTTTCGAATCGGGAACGGAACTCGCATTCCAGTGGAACCGTAGCTATGGCATGCGATAAGTCCCCATAGTTCGTTGAAGGCGTTAATAGATATAGACATAGAGGACCGGACGGCCATGTTGGCAAGATATTTCAGGTGGATTGGAGACATGGCTCGAAGATAGGCATGGGTGAGATCGAGCGGCCTTTCTAAGTCCTCGGGAGATCGACAAACGAGCCTTGCAGATTCTAAGTCTCGGTCGTAGAGTAACCGAACTTTGTTAAGCTTGTATAGATCTCGCGCTTGTTTCGGGATATCAGAAGCTGGGAAATGTAAGCCGTGGTAAAGATCACGGGTCTGCACAGGATCAACCAATTCTGTCACAACCTTTCCGTTAAATGCCGCATCAAATTGATAGATCATGACTCGGTGAAATCCAGTGAGTTCCTTGACAATTCCCACTAATATTTTGAGGAACATTTGCAAATTTGGCGCGGATGCCAACTGATCTTGGACTTGGGACATTATATCAAAAACCTGCATGGCACTAGCCTCGCCACGTCTATTCCGTGCGCTTCTAAGAATCCTCAAGGGTCTGCTGCTAGTTTCGGTACTTTCGTACAGTTCCTCCATCGTTGGAGTTTGGCAGAGTGTGTCCTGAGGCCCATCTGATGTCGGCTCATCAGCCGGCCGGAGAGGGTGCTCTTGGTCATCCTCAAGCTCAAACTCGCAGATGATCAGCTCTGGGTGGCTCGCACTGATATGTATTGCACACCATAGCTTTATAGACTTCTTATGAGGCGGCCGTATGGATATACTGAACACATCAGGTCCATTAGTGGCCGGATCAGCTTCTTCATCTCGGATGAAATCGATATGATCAAGAATATTATCAGTCTGTTCTTCAGTCAGAATATCGGTGAAGCTTTCAAGTTGAAACAACTCCTGTGGTGAGAACCCTATCATCTTCTTGGAGTTTTCGCTAACGCATCGAACAGTGAGTCGGCCATCGTTTTCATCCCTAAGAGCGACAAGAAGACCAAAGGCTTGGACGGCTCCAGGTGTATGTATCGGCTCATCTTCACATCGCTGTAGGCTACCGTCGCGTCCGGTAATAACAGCATGACCTTCCTCTGTAATCACGTGACGGAACCGGGCTGTCATTAACTTATCATTAAACTCTCCAGGCGATCTACGTCCGGAAGAATCATCAGGGTTGCTCTCTTCAGTATTCAAAGGCGTACTGTTCTTCGTCTTATCGGAAACCTCCGAAGATGCATCATTGTAGATAGAAAACAGGCCGGCAGGGACATCCCGTTTCAATTTGGGGGCCGGACTAGCAGAACGTGCTTCTTCCCTATTTGGGTTTTCTATACCATCTTTCTCCTTCGATGGTCCCGGGGACGAGGAAACAGGAGTAGACACGGTTTCGATTCTTTGAAGTCTATTAGTCGTGTCAATCGAAAGGCGAGCACTGCTTGGTTGTCGCCGGCCGTCCCAAGTCGACCCTCGGCGAGCTATATGACCTTGTCCTCCCAGATTTTTTACCAATGCTAGGGGCGTCTGTTGCGACTGGTCGACACTAACCACAGAGCGAATGGGGAACACTCTGTCCGAAGGGTCTGCATTGCTAGCGCTGGTGACGCGACGATGTTGACTATCCGCACTCGCACTACAAGATGAAGGAATGCTCGAGGCTCTTCTATGCGCAATGTTGCCATTTACCGCCGTAGGGGTTTCCTCTACAGGGATCGGGGGCGACTTTGGTTTTACGGCGGGGGTATCTTCTACAGATGTAGGCGCATTCGTCGATTCCTCATGGTCATCTTCGTTGCAGAATGGCTGGGAAAATGATGTTGTGTTGTCATCATTCTGCGTCCTGGGCTCGGAGGTGCGGCGGTTTTGGATCGCCGGATCTTGACTTGACTCCATGCTATAGGGAAATCAACGGTTACGACCTGAAAGCCGAGGTGAATCGACGGCGACTGCGATTTCCTTTAGGTAGTTATACCACTTGAACTCAGCACGCCTAACTTCCCCTGTGTGGCTCCTACCAGGCCCAAACCGGATGGCCCCAATAGCAGCGATACCCCAGCCCTTTTGGCAAATAATATATCTCGTTCTAGGTTTTCAGCGAGGTAGGTGTAGCACATTAGGGATCGCCGGGGACATGGGAGGACGAGAAGGGTAGCGAGAACGAGTTCCAACTCCACAGCAAACAATTGAAGAATATAGAGATTATTTCCAATCTGAGCATCGATAATTGAGCACCAAAATCGAAATTAGAACATGGGAAAGCAACAATAGCAGATCGGTAGTGGGGTCAATTAGGTTAATGCGCTGGGTACAGGAGGGAAGGAGCCCTATGCTAGTCGCCACTTTCTCTCTACTATGTAAACTTCTCTACTTCTCCTAACCCGTACCCGGCATGGCCCAGGTACCCATGTATTAGGCACGCTATAGGGACGTCAAAAAGGGTGGCGCACCTACTACATGTAGGTACGTACCAGATGTACATCCAGGCACCATCAGGCCGCATATGGCGCCAGGGAAGTGGAATGAGACCTATCAATTGCAGATAGATCTACTGCCTTAGGTATATAGGTACTATGTGCGTTGCAGTGCATATGATAGGTACCTAGGTTAAGTTAGGTACATGTGTACGTGCTATATTAAGTACGGTGAGCTAAAAGATTGACTATTATCTCTTTGATGCTAGTGGCGTTAGAAGGAGCATTTATTCCTAATGTCGTTGACATCATTTTGCAGGGCTACCTCTGTACATAAAATGCCTTGGAATTTTTGAGTAACCCATTCGGCTAAGGCAAAAACTCTATCTGTTCCTTTTACCTACCTAGGTAGGTAGGTAGGTACCCCATATTTCGGTACGCTACCTTACAGCTAGAACTCCGAATATCAGAGGTTAGGTTCATACAACTATAAAATGCTATCAGAGTGTAGAACAAGGGCAAATCTTTCGACTAAACACAATTCAATTATACTTCTTTATCTAGGTAGATCGCGAAAGCAACATCACAACAACAGCAGCATTGTATCTTGTCTGCAAAATATTATCATTGTCACCCCTTAGTATAAATACGACTATCAGGTACGCAGCTCAGTGAACGAATACGCTTGTTAATTTACTTCAGCACACTCATCTCCAAAGGATACTTGGCATAATAAACATCGTAGGCACTCCACGAAACCGGAAAAGGTAAGTGTATCGGGTAAGCTTTTCGCACTTCCAACTAAGAAAATCATCCTTCTACACTAAAACCGATCGTAAGTATGAAGAGAGCTTACAATTCCACGGCGCAGGCCAATTCCACCAATTCTACAGAGCCCCCCAAATTCCCGCCATGTGAGCAGGTAGCATGTCCGGAGATCGAGATGACCGACTATGATTATACCCAGGAAAACCAGGCTAACTACTCGGAGGATGTAAGAATGGTCGATGTGCACTCCTTTCCCCAGCAGGTCCAGGGGCTAGAAATGGGTGAGCCGTTTCTGAAAAGGGATAACAATACTAAACAGAAGTCGAAATACACTAATATTATGCTACACTCGGCTGAGACTCAAACCGAGCCTCCTTCAAGCTTCGAGGTTGGAGTATTTGAGTTGTTGAGGGAGAAAAAGATCTACTCCGTTACTTACGAGAAAGGCAAGCTTGAGGTTAACATCGAGTAGCATGGCTCACGTAGCGATATATAGTTACTTCAGTATTGGAGACCATAAGTTTAGGTACCTGTAGGTAGGCAGTTAAGACATCGGGTAATGATTTAACTGTATATTATACTATAGGTAGTTTAAGAGTGCAATATTCTTGAATATTGCACTCTTAGATAGCCCGTAGCCAAACATCTTAGTAGCTCATACTCTACTAAATAGCAATTTTCATAATTTTCATACTTAATCAAAAATATTTTAATATATTCGAACGTGTATATAATTCTGCAGTGACACCGTAAACTCTTGGATATGTCAACTAAGAAATTGTATCAAGTATTACCTAAAATAACATGTCTGCAAGCCTTAACGATGTGAATTTAAATCAATAATACGTTATCCGGTCGAGTATCGGCAACGAGATGTAGATGAAACGAGACTGGATGCAAGAGAACAGTAAAGGTTGACGCCGTCACCAATCCGGGTCATTGAATCAATCAAATCACCAAATGCATCCCGACCCCAATTTACACGCCGCTAGCTGGAAGCGCATTTTACCTGCAAGCAATTAAACCCATACTATTATCCCACGTATCGGGTACCCTCACGAAAAAATCTCACCAGCCATGGGCAAAGACGTCGCGCCCAGGAACTGGCCACCATCACTCCCCTACCTTCAACAACCCTCCTACGCGCCCCACGTAACAAAGGCTCAGCAGCAAATCCTCCGTATCCGGCACCCGGAAATCTCAACCGAGATCCCGCGGGACTTTCCGCGCGGCCCCTCGGCCCTCGCGAGGATCATCCCTATCAGCGACCCCTCGCACCCCGCGCACGGGCAGTCGGGACTGTTTGCGGCGCGGTCGCTCCCACCCGGTTCCCTCGTGCTCCCGTACTACGGGGTCGTGCACTCCTCGGCGCCGCCGCACTCCGCAGCCCACGAGAAGTCGGATTACGACTTGTGGCTAGACCGGGACGGGGCACTGGCCGTTGATGCAGAGCGCGCGGGCAATGAGGCGCGCTTCGTGAACGACTTCCGGGGGGTCGCGGCGCGGCCGAACTGCGAGTTTAGGGAGTGCTGGGACCTGAGGCGAGGAGAGAAGTGCATGGCTGTCTTTGTTCTGCCAGCCGGCAAGAACGCGGGGAAGAAGGCTGCTGCAGGTATTGCGAGGGGCGAGGAGATCCTTGTTAGCTACGGAAAGGGGTTTTGGAGCAAGAGGAGAGATGAACTTGGGGAAGAAGACGGCGGCGTAGTCGACGAGGTTGCTTCCTGATTAAAGAAACTCTACTATCAGCGGTAGATTTTAACGTTCAGCATTGTGAGCCCATCGACTCGGTGTCAGAGAGGCCGGTAGGTATACATCAAGAAATAAATTGGAACATGTGTCAATTTTGGTTTCCTTTAGCATCTACGTAAATATTCATAGTACCAAGCATAAATTGGCTGGAGCAGATCATCTCTACTCCGTACGGCCCCTAACTTCGTAGGTATATATCTCTCTACAAGAAATTCCTGTAGCCGTACCCTTCGTTCTCCACACCAATCGAGCTGGACTTGGGATCAGTTCCCGCCTGCCGTGCCGCCTCGTCGTTCTTCTCAAATTTCTTGTTTTCCCAGCTCAGGTACGTACGCAGGGCCAAGACTAAAAACGCGTTGAAAAACATGAACCCCGCGCATACACCCATCCCCTTAATGTAGTACGGCTTATCGCTGGCCGGGAATACTCGTGTTCCGAGCAATGGCCCGCATTGACCGACGATGTTAAGAAGCGCGATGCCGGCTCCTCTCTTAGAGTCCGATCCTTGGTTGTTCAAAGTCCAAGGCAGGATGTTGGATATGGCTGGGGAAACACCAGCAGCGGCAAGGAATACGCCAAAATAACGTACAGCAACGCTCTTGCAGGTCAGGAGAAGGACATACCCCACACCAGCGATAAGTGAGAGACCGATGATCATGAAACCGCGCTGATGTGTCTTGTCTGCGATCCAGGTCGTCAAAATGCAGATGAGGAACGAGAGGAAGTATGGCGGAGCACTAAGCCCCTGGGCATTGATGGCAGTAAATCCCATGCTCTGGAGAATAGAGGGCAGGAAAACGGGTAGGCTGCTAAACGAGACTGTTTCGGGTGATTAGTTTATACAAGCAAGTCAAAATATTGTAACGCTCACCATTGCAACTGAAGTACACTATAAGGGGTTAAAGAAGTTAGCCGCTTCCGCTTTCAAGGAGAGGGTGATGGAACAGTCATCAAATTGATGGTCCCGGATAACAAAAACCCAAGACCAGTAGTACTTACTTAAAGGTGGGATCCAAGTTTTAATATCCTTTAACGACATGAAAACATCTTTGAAATTGATATGTCCCACGCGTTTTACCCCTTCGGTTCCAGTCTGCTGAATAGCTCTAATCTTGGCGACTTGTCTTTCCTCTTCAGTTAAAAACTTTGCTGTATCGGCTGAATCAGGCATATACGCATAAGCAAGAAAGGCGACGAGGACCGAAGGGACTCCTTCCACGATAAACAAGAGTCTCCAATTAGCTATATGAGCTGGGTGGCCAGAGGTTATCCCGTAAGCCAGGGCGCCCGCGAAGGTCGTCTAGTGTCATTAGAATCATCTAAACATGTCTATGAAAAGGAAGAGTTTAACAGGAAGGGTATATATGGGTTATACATTATTATACGATAAACGAAATCTTGAAGGTGTAGTCATTAACCAGGGAATATATACATACAGCAAGAGGGGCGGCTGAGAGGAACATGCCGCACCTAAACCCGAGCTCGTTCCTCTTATAGAAGAAAGAAAGCAGGTAAGGTACTCCTGGTCCAAAGCCTGCTTCAGCCATAGCGAGGAAGAATCGGCAAGCCATCAAACCCGACCAGTTGAACGCGGTAGCCTGAAGAGAAGACGCTATGCCCCTACAGACTAATAAGCGTTTGATGCGCGCACATTTTCTATGGGACTACTTACCATACCAGCACACAGCTGGTAGCCCAAACTATTAATGCCAATTAGTTACGTGCACATAACAGCAGAGCTATTAGCATGGTTGCCATATGAATATTTCATTCCCCGAGCATAGCAGCTCTTAGAGAAATGTTGGTTTGCCGCATACTTCAAGCCACGAAGTAAAGGAGACGATAGAATAAATTTCCCAAATACATACTATGACTATCAATAGTCTTTAGCGAAATCCAAATAGTTATTAGCCAAGGAGAACTTACGGAGGCACGGCTTTCCACATCAACGCAGCCCATTCGAAAACGACTATCGAATTGGGTTAGCCGTCATCATAATAGAGCAGACATGATTCCGACGCTAGAGTGAGACTCACTGTATGGTATGTAAAAAATAGTCAACAGCCACTATACGGTCATGTTAGTATAATAGTTCTCCTATCGTAGAGATTGAAGACAAACCTGGTACTGGGCATCATCAAACCCAAGGTCCTTGCTCCTGCGTAAGAAAAACCCCGTTAACAACATTGCATTCTATGGGGTTTCTGGCGCCATTCGATGTCTAGTACTCGCCTCCCCCATCCCCCAATGCTTATTAATGGTGTTTATCAACTACAACAGTAAAGAAAGGAACGATAAACGTACATGCCTGCCGTCTCGGCGTTTCCAATATTTGAACGGTCAAGGAAAGCGACAAGATCTGTTAACCGAGTGTAAGTTGTGAGCCTATGCGGGGTACTATATGGTATGAAGCATGAAGACACTAACAGAGTCCCATAACCAAGGGAATCAAATGGCGATCAATTTTTCTCCTAACCCGCCTCTCTAGGGCAGGATCAATATGAAAATCATTGTTCTCGAGTCCCAGAGACTTCTCATCGAGGTCACCACGTGCATTTTCATGCATATCCTGTGTAGGCTCTTGGTCGCTTTTAGATATGTCCATTCTGACAGCGAATTCAGTTCGCCTCAGGACGAAGTAAATTGAAATGGATTCCGAGAAGCGGGTATGATGTCCAAACGGTCTCGGTAGTTGGACGGTGTGTTGGCGCGCCGTCTAATGCGAGTAACGGATAGGACTAACGACCGGAAAGTCTCAGTGTCGACGTACGAAAAGATGGCGGTACTTTATAAAAAACTTCTAAAATAGCGGTGTCATTATATATTCAGATCCGTCGTATTTCAAATTATCTGGCTTTGTAGGATCGGGAATAATTGCATGGGGATAACTACGGCTTCCCCGCTTAGGTATGGATCAAATATCTAAGACAGCCACTCGGAATTACGAGATTAATATTGTAGTAGCTATGGATACTACTTCGCTGAACTGTACCGATGTGCCGAACCCCAGTTCCGTGTTGGTCGCCGGGAATCCCCCCGTACGAATGACCTCTCTTAAATGATATCATAGCGTTTTCATGCGCTTCTAGGAAAATGCGGAGAAACATGACGGGCCGGGTTTTTGGAATAAATAGTCCAACCTTGCGCAGCCAGCCTTAACCTAAAACGCAATAAGCTTAAATAAATCAGGAATCTGTTTGGATATTCGGGTTGTTACCTACCTAAAGCACCTGTACACCTAACCTACCTTAACCTAGGTAGTTAGTTAGGTTACACTATTAGCTAATATATGCATAATCTAACCTACTTGTGTTACCCCGTCGACAAAAACACACGAAACTACTTGACCCTAGGTAGGTTAGATACTTAAGATATATGCATACTATATATGTCAATTGCCCAAGTAATTGTTATAATGCGCTTTTGTTTAATTAGTAGGTATATCTAAAAGTTACAATTGGTAGATACTATCATATCAAGTATAGTTATAGTTAATAACAATTATCAAACTTGGTGATATATCATTAGTAAACCTGAACCTCGAAAACGCTGTTAATACCGTAGTATGACAATTGACATAAGTTATAATTGGTCATTGTTCGAGGAATATATAGTTAACTAGTGTAAAGTGTAAACTCGATTCTGCAGACTGTATATAGACTTTAACGAGCTAAATACCTACCGTGTAGATGCGAATAGAGACGCTACAGTTAGTAGCTTCCATCCTATCACTTTCAATTGAATTGTCTAAGGTCATTCCTCCCGCTGTCCAAGTAAGTAGGTATCTAGGTAGAATGGAATGTACCTACGATATGGTTTCCTTCAGCCGTCCACTTCTAAGGAAAGAGCAATAAAGAAGAAGGCTTCTGGTTAAGATCAAACAGCTCATACCTAAAACATCAATAAAAATCTTCAAACGTGGATGCCACGCGGGTTGGGGTGCTTTGTCCCCTAAATCCACTTATTGATGGCTCGTGGTCAATTAAACAATATGTATTCATAATGCTGGTATTCTGAGATTGCCTGGACTCAATCTTTATATTCACCTCTTTCATCTCGGGAACTGATTATTAAGGGTCTTCTATGCATGGCCTGCTGAAAAAAACGTGGTCCTAGGTAGACCTGACAAGCAACACGAGGCCGTCTTTGTCCTGGTCCCTTGCAGAGCAGTCTCTTTCCGCAATTAACAAAGAGAAGTCACCGAGAACCCCACGTGGATACGGGAAGAAAGAACGGAATTATGTATATAGAGTTAAACTCAAGATGGCTGGCCGTATTAGAGGAAGTAACGATAGGACAGGAAACAGAAGGAAAGAACACCTATATAAAATACCAATCTAAAAGTCAACATGAATAAATCTGTAATAAACCGCCTCTTCTCCGGAAAGAAAGAGAAGATCGGAAACCAATTTGTGGATTTTCTGCGTAAGCCAGGAGCTCTAAAAGATACCGAGGCATACTTAAATCAGACTAAAGACCACAAGTATGGTAATTACGAGAAATGGGTCAAGGAGAAGACAGTTTTTACTGGATACGCCGACAGCCCTGCCCTCCTTGCCGAAAGTAAAAATGTACTTATAATAGGGAACCACAACTCCTTTGACGTTACCCAGTACGGAGAGGACCCGGGAAAAGCAGGCATGTCGATGATCCATATCCTGGGGATTCCCAAAAAGAATATTTTCAACGGTGTATCACTAGACCACGATACTGTATCCGTTATCGACGAGACAATAGACCTGTTCAAGGACAAGTGGGAAACTCCCGGCTTTCGCCAGAAAGTCCTAGACTACCAGAAGTTAGCTATAGCGAACCGGACTTCCGCAGAACCGTTTGCAAGATTGGATGGAGGGCTTGAGTTCTTAGCTGCCGCCAATGACTTTTGGGAAGCTATGAATCACTGGAAGGAACTCGAGGCCGGGATCCATACCCTGACATTCGACGACTTCACCTTTGGTCTTCATCTATGGCCCGACCATAGCGTAGGCCATCTTCACCTGCATATCATCGCTACGCCCGATTGGTGCCGCAAATATAGCACTTTAAAGCACGACGAGAAGACCAAGGACGCCCTTGAAGTTCGCGATTTCGTCCGAGGTCTTTCTCCAATCTAAACCTACCTAGAAAACATAGAACTAGAGTAGCTGCCTCGCTGGCGTCTTAACTAATCTAAAGTCTCAAACTACCTAGGTAGTAACTTAGAATTATTATGATCGTTTATGACAAGTATGATAAAACTCACTGGCAAGGTTGTACAAATTATATTCAACCCCTGAAAAATATTCACTAAATAAAAATAAAAAGCGTATTACGCTTATAATACAAGTTTAATTGATATACCCTCTTCTTAAATAAGTGATTTAGTAGTAAACTACAACCTTTAATAATTCGGTGCCAATATGCCGACCTTATCGTCGCTTTCTACTATTAACCCCTTGACTACCTTTGATTATATTTGCTACCTATTCAAGATATTAGAGACTCGTCTTAAAGCCTTAAGCCGTTGTATTAATAATAAACTACGTTGATGATAATCCCGATATTATTTACGTCAAACGACATGTAGATCATCTACATTTAGCCTTATGTCCTGTGTAAAAGGGGTGCCAGTCAAAAGAATAAGATAGTTACATAGTTCAAAGAGTACCAAAGGAGATTCTTATTGCAGACAACAGACAGAATTAACTATAGCTGACTAATATAACATCATACTAGGCATATGGTAGAGTCTTGCATTCTACACTTCCGCCAAAATAGTAGACCATACTACTTTAACTATATCCATCATGTGCTATAAAGTAACTAACTGCGTACTATAGGATTTTATAAGAGAAATACCTTAATTTCTACTTGCCAATCTCAAACTACGAAGAATACTATACCGTCTCTCGTGGTAGCTAATAGACTAATAAGCCACTAGGTTACGTCTTTTCCTCCTAAAAATAACTTGCCAGCTACTTGAGAGATTCTTTAGATACTATGAAGGCTACTATAATTTGCCACCATGACTGTAGTGTATACTAAAATCATCTAGGCACGTTATGCTACTACTTAGGAGTATAGGAGCAACGTTTCTGGATACTGAATTTCACTTAACGACTGCTGAGAAACAAACACGCTACGCCTTGTAAAAATTCCCCTATAACTTTCCCTTGGCCTTTTGATCCTCCCGGACCTTCTGCATGCTCCTCAGCAGCGCATACAGCGTCTGTAGCTTGGGCATATCCACGCCGGCTCTCCTGGCAATCCTAATCGGATTCCCAAGTATGACTTCAAGCTCCATAGGTCGGCCAGCCTCCCAATCGAGTAGCATGCTAGGCCTAGCGCCAGCGTTTCTTTCAGTGCTCCTGATGATCTTCTCAGGCTTGGCTAAATTATCTGGGAAGGGTTTCCCCAGAACCTTGGGTGCGGCGTTCCAGATCTCACTCATGACGCCCTGGATATGCTCGCGCAGTTCAGGATCGGTCAGCTGGTCGGCGTTACCGCGGCCGCCGGATAGCACGGCTGTGGGGTTGAAGGCGGCGTTGATACAGAGCTTGTGCCATCGAATAGTCTGCAGTTCGAGCTCAGTGTGTGTCTCGACGTCGCGGATACCACCGTACCGAGTCCACCACTGCGCTAACTGATCCATGCGTTGGTGTCCTTGTTTCACTACATCGCTTGGCTCGTCGTTCGGGCTAGGCGGTGTGCCGAGTCCACTGCCGTACGGTCCCAGGCTAATTCTCGTCCACCTGTTCTGCCGTACGACGCCATTCCTGATCTGCTCGGCGCTAATGACGGTAACAGCGCTCACTATCGGATTTTGCGGAAAGCGCTTACGGTATGGCTCCTCTACACCTACGCCATTTTGTATCAACACTATACAAGTCTTGGCGGAGACTAGCGGTGCGACTGTAGCTGCGTCGTCGGTTCGGTCGGGGAGAGCTTTGGTCGTCACTATAATATAGTCCCAACCATCTCTCGGGGATTGCCGTGTAGGTGCGAGATTGGTTGTAGCCGACGAGGTCGGGACGGCGTGTGCAATGGAGGGAAACACGGCATAGGGCGAAAAAGTATAATCGCCGAATGAATGAGTCTCCAAGATGACTCCAGAGGCGGCGATAGCTGAGTAATTGGATCGGGCAATAAGGGAGGTGTGGATGTTGTGCGAAGGCTACGATGTGCCATTCACGGCGCAACCGTCAGTTGTATGTCTAGCATACCGGCGACGATGCTTCGATGCTTACATAGTGGAGTCGGGATGCGTAGAAGCAGCCTACTGCGCCAGCGCCAACGAAGAGGATATGGACCGGTCTAGAGGAGTAATATTAGCTGTGTACCTTTGGGCGGTGGACTGTCGGGCAATTGCATCGGTGGCGCACTTCGTTGGACTATCTGAGTTCGCCATGGCCGTTGTGGCTTGCGGACAAAGAAAGACAGGGAATTGGAAAGATATGATGTGACTAATTGGCAATGGAGGTTGGAATTGTATGCGCTTGGTTGCGCCCGGTTTCCAGGTTTCTGTCCTGGTCGAAGAATCCTAGTCAAAAAAAGGGAGATGCTGTAAGATAGTGCGGATGTAAAAGCTGGAGAAAAGCCACGGATCGGAGAACAAATCGGGCGTTTTTCTTACTGGCGCAAAAGCTAACAGCTGAAAGCTTAAAGCCCACCTTACCTAAACTTTAAATGAAGCTTAGAGGATCTCGCTTGAATTTCATTAAATTACCGAGGTTGCACACCAATTAAACTGATTGATTGTATGGTACCTAGGTACCTACGTCAGATTCTTACGTAGGTACCTAGGTAGGTACAGAGGTTAGGCACTTCAGGGCAGGTGCTACTAATACCTACCGTAAGGTTATACACTATGTAATTACATGAACAGTCGTAACTTACATCAAACAGCTTCAACTTTTACATGTAACTATTGATCGTGTGTTTATGTCTTTTAACTTGATACTTGATGTTTTTCTAACAAATCAACTCTCGAAATGGCGACTAATTCTATTCGGGGAGGCGGACATCGATCTATCGCAGGAAATCAAAGGTATCGTCTATCGTCCAGGCTCGGTTTCAAAGGTTTCCTGTGAGACCATCTCTCTCACACCGTTGCTTGTTCGATATTAAACAGTTCGGGTAATCAAAGGGTCCGTGTTCGACGTCAGCGACTCTAAACAAAAGGCCCTAATCCTGCCTCTGTCATGCGCCAAGAAGGAAATATGCGTACTGCTGCAATATCTATATTAGAAACATGAAGCGGTCAGTAGATGCGGCGTTGACCTACATTACATTCCTACCTATGTATGCGTTCCCGTCGCAACCGGCCGTGTTCAAGACATATACCAGTCTGGGCCCAGCTTCTTTTCGGCCCCGTTCCGATCGTGGCGAAACCGTGGCGGCTACCCGCTCATCCGTTTCACCCGACCCGTCGTTGCTTTTACCTACAGAGGCGTGAGCCCAGACTCTTGGTATTCTGGGTATTCTTGGCAATGACGCTGCGAGATGGTGCGCGGACGCTAATCTTGTCAGACAAAAGTCGTGAAACTATAATCACATACCACGCCCAGCCTCGAACACAAAAGAGAACGCTCGAGGAAAAGAAGGTGGTAACTTGTGTATCACTTCGTAAGAGGCGTAGATGGTAGGGCGGCCAAGACCACGCCCGTTGAGCTTTAAGGGGGGGAGGGTGAGGCGTGCGCGCACCCGGATGTAATGTTGTCAGACGCGTGATCACCAGAACAGAGCGAATGCCATGCCCCATACATGTAATGGCACGTCTCAACAAAGAAGGACCAATATTCCCCCCGCTAATCGAACTACTCGTGGGGTCAACTGTGGAGGATGATGGATGATGGATGATGGGACAAAAGGGCAGAATGGGATTCCCACGCCATGTTTGCCACGTCCACCTTTTCGCCCCAAAGCTGAACTCATCTGATAGTGACGCGCGCACAGATACCGTAAGCTCTGACAGCGAGGAAGTGCGGATGGCAATCATGCTTCGGCCCTAAAAGGCCTAATATAACTCACGTCAGCATGGGGGTTACGAGGATGGAGGAGATATGTAGAAAGGTAGTGGCAGGGGAGGGGCTTGCAGGAAGTCCGTCAGTTCCGGTATCATTGTTACACTGTTCCTCAAGGGTCTTACGAGCACGTTCAGGGGCGTTCCCAACGCCGGTCCAGGCTCACAGACCTGACACAGCGCATTTCACTAAGGTAAGTCTCGTATCATGAGGAAAAAGAGGAAAGAGCCTGGGCTCCGCCGGCGGCGCGGGTGTTTAACGAAAGGTCTTAGGCGGAAACAACTAAGATGAGATATCGCGCCGTTCCGTGTTGCGACCGGGGGAAATAAAACTAAGGGTTACTCATTCCTATTCGGGCTATTTTCTAGCTGCTTCAACTCCTCCGTGGTGCGTACACATATTAGAATAGCTTATTAGTGACAAGGGAGTTTCCGATGATAGTCTCTTCATAGAGCCGAACAGGGTTCCGTCGTGTAAGGCATATCCCCGGAGGCAGACACACGCTTCGGCACGGCAGCCAATATAGCTTGCAGCTCTTGGCTAGATCACATCTTTGACAGCCGCATTAGTCTCCCACCCAAATACGGAGGCTGGGAGGAAAGAAAGGAGGGGGGGGGGTGATTTACATCAACTAACTTAGAATTGTACTTGTTTCAAATAGGGAAACTGAAATCATCCTAAGACTAACGGTGTTCTAATTTGATTAGTTAGTTTAGAAGTGACAGTTTCTTACCTGGATCAAAATAACCCTGGGAACTTTAGCGTTGTAATCCCCACACCAAAGGGCACGCCGTCCACTCTCTCGGATTGCGGATTGCCAACGGCTGCAGGTTGATATTACTCGTCACCCACAGCTAACCGGCTCAACAAGCTTCAACAAGCAACCAGCAGTGTTAGCCAGAAAACTTCGTCGTCTGGGATGGCGAATGACACGAGAGTAAGAGTGGTCCGGCTTGGTAAAATCAAGCATGATTTGACAACCCCGCAGATAATGACTAGACGACTCAGCCTATCCTGTCCCTTATATCTTACCCCAGCCTTTGACTAGGTGCTAATGGCGGGCTGCGCGGGGGGGGAGGGGGGAATCAGAAGCCATCAAAGTTGCACGGGCAAAATAGAGAAATTCTACACGCGAGATACTATGTACGTAATTCAAATGTATCCGTGAAATGATCCCTTGGTAATGAAAGCTTAGCTACCTACCTTGCCTGAATGTCTGCCACCTGCGCGTCTATCTCGCTTCCTGATACTACGCCATGAGGTCATTTGACACGAGCCTAATGTTACGGGAACTAAGGCTTGCGTCTGTAGGCTTATTTTTAACTCGTTCCGCGTCGTGTAATCCGGGGTACACTCTATCGAATTATTTGCTTCTGATCTGTGAAGTCGAAGTCGCAAGTTACTTCTGCTGAAAATTCCGCCCAGCGTTAGCTTCAAAAGGGGTTAACTATATTATTGGTTGATAGTCGCCAATCTGCGATTCACATCGTTCATCATCTTTAGGCGGATCCCTAGTAGTTAGGTTAAGTTGTTGGCCGATTATCTGCGCGTTCTCTACACCACAAGCTCTTCGACTACGGGTTAACTCTGTAAATCTTGCTCATCACTAAAGCCTCACTGATACCCAATCATGTGTATGGTGTGATTGTCCTTACTACTTGCGAATGTAATTTCTTATCAACCTGGGTCTACTAAGAGCGAAGCCTTTAGGTTCGAACACTAATAACAAATCAAATCACTTTCCGTTCATGCCAAGCAGAGATCTCCGCCGGGGATCCAGAGGCACCCTACGCAGGCTTTACAGCTACAGCGGAACTGATCCAACAGCTAACGACTGGCTGATATCCATGTCATAATGCCAAAATGGTGTGTGAGAATTCGCGGCATCGCATGATAACCGTCCCCGGAGCGTCGGGAAGAGCCCGTTTTACAATTTCCTGTGTTTATTTCCGTCCGCAGTCTGTGGCGACATGTAGTGAAGAATAGATAATGAAAGCAATGTTCGTTTCAAAGTTGAACGAAATTGCAGCACTCCACATCAGCAGCATGGTCTAGCCCTTCTGATCATCAAGGGCTATGTCCGCCTTTGCTTTTTTTGAGGATGTATAACGACACTTTCATAAGCCCTATATCAGCCCGGGAGGATGCATTATGATTGGTGGTAATAAGATACCCTGCGACAATAATCGTGGAAGCCCAATCTGACGATCACGACTAAGCCAGATCTTGCTAAGCGAAGGAGAAACGGTACGAATACTGAGAAAAGGGAGGAAAGTATTGAAAATTATGTGACCTCAACTGATTCCCGGACTCTCAAGGAGATGCAAAACGATCTCTCCAATCCGGGCGCCCAGCAACGGGTTCGTATTCTAATCTCTGCCAGGAGCGAAAACACTCGCGTCAATAGTTAGACTGCGAATGCCGATAAACGTATGAAACGTTTGGCTGGCATGTTCTTAATTTCTTTTCGTTTTGTCGATGGCTACCCTAGAGCTTGCCATCTCGATGCTAGACTTCTAGACATTGTTACGAGCCAACAGATTACAGGCTGCACAGCAACGTGCCAGCGCCGATAAGTGCGACTCCTATGGGTTGTCTTGAGCCGAGAACTATCAAGACTACCTACACCAACCAGATAGCCAAGTACAAGATATGAATAAACCTACATAGATCATCTGAGGTTGACCGAACTCCGAAGCTCCGTTACAATATGGTGTCGGAACGTTGCAGATTCATCATCATCATCATCATCATCTAGGCATGCAAGCCGTAGAATCCCGCGCTCCCACTAAAGATTTAACGAATAAAGTTCAGGGCCGCCCTCCTGGGCAACGATGGCTCAAATCGGCAAAACCAAGCTTTGGAAGCGGTCCATCTAAAGCGGGGAAGCTAGAGTGTAACTTAAAGGGTAACGTGTAAGTTACATCGGTATTGGTGGTCATTAACCATATCCAATAGGAACGAGAAAGAATTGTTAGCTGGGACAGATGCGTCTGGGGCTGATGTGCCTGATTCCTGACGAGATTTCAGCGTGTGAAAGGCTGTAGAGTTTGTGGGGGGTTAGGCTAGCCAGTGCCGAACACGCAATGAGAAGATACCAAGGGACTCGTATGTGGGAGGTATCGTAGACTTGCGGGCTGATACCTCCAATCATCGTCAGTCAACCAATCCCAGGTAGATTGTCCTGCAAAGCATCTGCATAGTTGGTAGTAGATATGCAAGGCTCCATCGCCTCTCATATATCAGATTTGCTATTCGCTGTAAGACGCATAAGGCAATTGCTGCTCCCGGCATGTGCAAGCGAATATCGAGACGGGCTAGATATCAATAGCAACCAAGCATGTGTAGATTAATATTACCAACTGAAAGGCCTGTCAACGACTAGATTCGGCGGGCACCCGTAAGGGGCGATATTAGCAAGGATCAAGTTTGCCGGCGGCATTGTCGCTTTTGCTGCGAGAGATGCATGAACGCTTGGAGGCTTTTTTACAACGTACAGTGCGAAAGGTAACTCGGCCTAAGTCGCATGTACGGTATAAAAGGGCTAAGCAAGGCGAGCTTCTGGAAACCTTGTAGAAGCCTTGTAGAAGCCTCGTCGAAGCCTTGTCGAAGCATTAAACGGGTGTACTTGAAACCCTAAGGGCCGGGTGTTTCCACCTCGAGACCCTTAAGTTTGCCACAAGCTATTGTGGCATTGGGTCCTGAAATTCCGAACCAGCCCGGACATTCGTCATTTTAGCCGCAAACATATGCTCGCTCCTATTTCTGGCGACGCGCGAGACACTTGTGTGGCCAACCTTAACAGGCCAGGGTAATATGTGACGAACGACAAGAGTGTGGGGTTTAGCAGAAAAGGTAGGGGACAGGTTTGTCGCATTGACGGTTCAACTTGCTCAATCAAGCTTTCCGGTCCAAGGGCTCTCTGATAACGCTCGATATACCACATATGGGTTTTTGCGAGCGATATGGTATCATTCGTAACCTGACAGGTCGATGCATTATGACAATGCTCTCTTCTTTTTCTCCGCCCACGTTCAAGGGACCTTGTACTTACATCACCAGAAAATCCTGTGTGGTGTCAGGTAATGGTTGCTGGTGTTTCGACATTAGAACTGCGACTGTGAGGGTAACACCAGTTTTAGTATAGACAGCTGGCCAACTCGTGGAAGGCCAGGTCAGATCCAGGGGTCCAGTACGTCGCCCACTACCAAGTCCGGGTGTGGTAGTAACCGTTAGGACGGTCTTATGACGCCCGCGATTATGGAGAGCCCCGAAGGAACTATGTTGGGTTTCTGGGGAAATCCGCCATCCGCCATGCCGGGCCACAGCCGGATGGCATGCTGGCATGGCAATATGCTCGTAGTCACGCATACCAACTAGGCATGAAGAAGAAAAAAAAACAAGCACAAACCCAACGTGATGGGCGAGATGATCGCGCCGCATCAGATAGGTACAGGAATTCTAGCTTAGTTGGGTTGAGGTGCGGTTGGACAAATCCAGCGGGAGGCTTGAGATGCCCAAACTGAGAGCGCACTAGATTATTTGCCACCAGCAAAAGCCCTTGACTTGTCCAACCTAAGATTGAGGATTCTCAGCATGATAGCTTGTCGCTATAGTGGCGCACGTTATAGCGATCACAGGCTAGAGTAAGTTACCACGGAGAGCAACTTCGCTGCACATCTCGCTTGAAGACGAACTACTGCAGTGTGACAAGTAAACTACGTATTGGGTAGACAAGGCTGAAACCAAGTAAATAAAGATGGTCGCCGGGGTGACGAGGTCAGCGGATAGTGGTGTTAGTAGTGTTATACTGCTAGGGCAGGGAGGCGCGCGGGATAGAGAGTTCGGCGTCGCATCTTCTCACGGCAGACTATGCGAGTGATAGCTGCAGGGTGGAAGGCTTGCCGCGAAAATGACATAGACTTAATAGAAACCCGGCAGGCTGGATGAGGTATTCAGTTGTAGCGTAGCACAGCAGCTGCTTTCTACTACGGAAGCAGAATCGAAGAAATAATAGAATCGGAGCAAGTCGGGTTGAATGATGATGTCCACAACAGTAAGGCACCTACAAAGGGTGGTTGATAGGATTGGGCATTATAGAAATTGGAACGGGTGTGGGAGGTAGAAAGAAAGTCGTAGGTAGGAGATTCTTCGGCAGGTTGGGGAAAAAGAAAATTTTCATGGCATCGTGACGTGCGATCCGGCTTGGGATGGGGGTGGATTCGGTGCAGAAGAGAGTAAAAAGAAAAAGTGAGGTGGAATTGATGTGGGAGACTGGAAGAAGAAGGGGGGAAAATATTAAGAAATAAAATAAATAAATATCATAATTGAAATAAAAATAGGTTAGCAGCTTAGGCGGGTTAGGTACCTAAGGCAGGTAGGTAATAGGTAACTACTGCCATAGTAAAGTAGCCTGAGTTGCGAAATCAGGGAAGTTGGGAAGCTGGAAACTAGGGCAACTTGGGCTAAACGGGGCAAGTGCTTCGTAAGTCGCATCTAAATAATCTATCGGGCCGGCCAACGGTTTCGATATTCAATTCTTTATTTTTATTTTTATTTGTTTAAATTAGAGTAGGGCTGGGCACGAGGCAGTACAACGCATCAAGATATCATACTGTACGTTTTTGGCAAACGGTTTGTGCCTGAATATAACTAGGTACCTAAGTATATACTTTTACGCATATATTAAGTAGGTACTGTTAGATCTAGGCGCATGTGCGTACGGGTGTAGGGTTAGGTACAAGGTAGTAAGGTTATTTAATTAAAAATACCTACGTACAATGCCATCTTTTCCTTCGTTACATACCTATGTAGGTAGGTATTTATTTATTCACGTGTCTCGAGTATGTAAGAGGTAGTCATGTAACTTACATGTAGTAAGCTACTCGTAGATCTTTGGTTCATACCGACATTTTGGTCAGCAAGCCCCCCGAGTCCGAATCAGCAATACATACCTACTTGCGTGGTTGGTATGAAGGCACAGGTGGATTGTACATAGGTATGAAATAGGTATGAATTGTTTAAAAACAATGGTCCATCTAGCACATCCCACCTGCAAGGACCCTACATAAGGCGTTCAAGTAACTACTTGGTCATGTGTTTGACATATTTGATGTATTTTCGTACTTTTCCGGGGCTCCCGTTATTCGAACTGGCGCCTACAGCGGCCGGCTGGAAATTCATTGATGTCAATATTACGGTGTGTACGACAAGGCTCCGTATTCTGCACCTCTAGGATTTAGGCCCGCCTACTACGGGGGTGTCCGCTTAATAGCTTGCTTTTATTCGGTATGTAAATACTAATGTATGTGAATAAATAAATAATAAGAATGAGAAGAATAATAATAGCAATTGAAGGGTCTGTGTTACTTACTATGTTACTGTAACAAGCAACTACTATGTACAGTAATAGAATCCTCCCCCCGGCCCTCGAAACGGTATCTAGCCCATTGTCGACCATTGTTGAGAGATATGTTCCCCGTAGGTACATAGTTGAGCTGCCTTGGATCTACCCGATTTGTTCATCTGTTCCTGCATACCCAGCTATTTAACCTAGTTAACTGTCTTGGTAATCTCACAATCAATCGTGGCTATACCGTCAGATGAGTCGCTAGTTCGTATTACCCTTCGGACTTTACAGATCATAATAGGCGACGATCGTTCGGAATATCTACGGAATACATCATCTAACATATGCATCAAGCATGATGCCGGCGACACGGTTGTGACAAACGGCCCTGGTCTAGGCTACTAGCCCGCTCGACTTTCAAGGCGCGCTCGTGTCAAGTTGTTTCACTTGCCATGCTCCTCTCATTCGAAGTGTTTCCATTGATTAATAGCAAGGTAATACGAGTATATCTAGGCTAAGGGACGGGGCGGCCCTTCTAGAAATCACCCATCCATGGCACTCGAATGCCGGAGGGAGATGATATACAAGTACGTAGGATTCAAGAGTCACGGCATCGGCACCTCTCGCGCCCGGAGTTACCAAAATGATCAAATCTGATTTACTACCATTCTCCGTTTGAAAGTGCTCGAATATGTCCCTGGCTTGGCTTTCAATTTTACCATGCGCTTCGACCAGCGCTGGTTAGCAAATCGACCGGTCGTATCGCGATACTTCCTGGTCTGCAAGTCCTCAAGAAATATGTAATATTAACTGATATCAAAACTCTTGGCAGCCAAGATCTTATATGTGTTTTTCCCGCCCTGAACCTTTACATGAGTGCTTGGGAGGATTCGGGCTGCTTAGATGAGGCTGTCGATGCCCTTGGGATTGTCAATATAGATACCCCGATTGATATTGCCAAAGTCTCACTGAAGTCTCATCGCCAGGTTCAGCAAACGCTTCCTAGCATGCTAATATTTATCTCCTATGTATAGCCAATTCGCCAAGCTTATTCGTAGACACGTACGTATACAACATAGACAGATCGACTTATTAGAAACCGCTTCGATACGATTTGCCAAGGGCCAAGACGGCGGCCGTGCTGGATGTTTTGGGTGTTGTAGTCAAAAACGGCTCTAAGTCAACGCCCATTTACCACCGAAGAGGTGCAATTTGTACGTACTATCCGACGTTAAAGTGGATGACTTAGTTAACGAGGCTTCGGAATGACCCGCGATTCCCGAATACAATGACCGACTTACACCACAGTTCAACCCGCATGTGCACAGGCTCATGTGCCAAGAAAACAGATGCGCAGCTGTGAATCAGATCCTAAATAATATGCATAGGTAAGATGCGTAGTAGGGAATACCCTTCCAAGCTTCTTACACCTACCAGGAATCCAATCCGAGCTCGGTAGAGCGTTTAACTAGATAATTATTACTGGCTTATAACTCGAAGGGTGTCCAGAAAAAAAGAGATGAGAGAAAAGTAGAACCCGACGTATGGGATATCGTACTTTAGTCTCAATAAGCCAACCGTCTAGCAACCGTAACGTCGTTAGTTACTATTGCTATGTATTCCTCGTTATTTTATTTCTTGATGAGGAAAGACAAGCCGGCGATCCAGCTAACAAAGATAGAATAGAACTAAAATAGGTATGTAGCTTATTTTTTGTGAAAATAATGAATAATGTTGCATAATACGTGACCGTAAAAGCAAAGACAATTATGTATGATAACGGGGACTAGCTTCATCTCACCTCCGTGCATCTGCAACGGAACGTTTTCTATTCCATTGCGCGGCATGGAACCCCTGTCGTGGTCCTGTGAGTGATCCCGCCCTTGGCGGGCTTCAACTGCTAGCCTGCTAGCCCCTAGCTGTCCTCCCAAATCGAAGCTAACGAAGTAGGGGTAGGCAAGGTAGGCTGAGGAAGCGCATCTTGCTACTGGTTGGCTTAAGCTGGGCCCGGCGTGGGTTGGAAGCTCCTATGTCCCAACACCGATGTAATGCCCAGAGATTCTTGGTACTGTTTTGGGGGGGGGTGGAAAACCTTGGCCCTATCTATTTGTACGTACAATCTACATACAATCTAGCAAGCCGTAAGCGCAAATATGTTGTACATAGGCTCGGTTTCGCGCTACGCAGTAATCAAGACTTCGTTTGCGTGCCCACCTTTATTATTTTTTTCCCTTGCCCTTTACCTAGTTGAGTATTACGGTGCTTCATCATCTGGATTCTAAGAAACGTTCCCAGGCCAAATCAGGCGGGTAGTTTTCCTTCCCCCCAGCCAATCCACAAGCTCCGTCATTGCTAGCCATGTCTGGGGCGCCATTAGCCCGTGATGACATCCATCGACAAGTATATTCCCGGCTAGGTTTGCTGTAGAAGGACTAAGTATTTTTTTTCTCTCTCGCTTTGGGCTTCTACTTTGAACTCGACGGTTCTTCATCCCACCAGGTTGTAGATGATAAGCCTGCCCACCTACCTACCTGCGTTACCTACCAACCGGTCCTTGGACCTTAGACTCAACTTCTTTAAACCTCCCACGTTCCCCCTTCCCGAGCCGACTGCTCCCGTCAGTCTCGCTTGCTCTCACTCACACCAAATTCGGCCGCGGTACCGTGTCTGATATCTGATATCATAATATAAAAGTATACGATCTACTTCAACCTTGACACCTCGAAAGCCGAGTTCGACTTAGACCTTAGACTAGTCCAAGTCTAACTCGACAACTAACAGGTGAACTACTTGGCGCCTAGAGGTTTTCTTGTCAAGACGACTTACACCCACCTCAGTCAAACACATTTCCGATAGTCCCCATCCAAGGCAGGGCCTTTTCCCGGTCAGACTCTATTAGCCGCATAGCACCGCCGAGAAACGTTCGCGCTGCACTGTGCAGTCTAGCCAGCCCTTGGTGTTGGTGCCGACGGTTGATCACCGCGCGCAAAAAAATATTAAAAAAAATCCATTGAAACTCAATTGACCTTTTTTTTTTTGCGGCTCCTTGACGGGGAATACAAAAAAAAAGGTAGAGACAAGAGAGTTCTCAAACCGCAATCGCCTCAACTAAAAAAAGAATTTTCCAAGCGAAGAAAAATCTCCACTCAATCCACCATATTCTTTCTTACCCTAGGTAGACAGGAGCTTCTTTCTTCCTGTTTTCTTTTCATATCGTGAAAGCGGTCTTTCGCTCCGGTTCAGCCTCGGTCTTAGACATTAGTTTCTATACATACGTTCATACTTATTCACTTATTCCGTACGACATCGCATCACCTAAGCCGTTACATACACACTTACACACTTACAGACGCACTTACAGGCAAGACACACTTATACAAGTCATACACACTCTTCCGAGCTGTTGACTCGTCTTACACTTATATCCCCTACCCTACCTATCTACTTACATTACATACGAACAGCTACCCTTGGAGATGCGTGCATGAGGGATTCGCTTCAAAAACCTTACCTACCAGTTCCCCGTCGCAGCGTCGCCCCGGTCCGCTGCAACACAACCTACTAAGCTTATTAGCTACCGTTACCAAATCGCTACTCTCGGGCCTTTGTTGGCCCCTTGACGCCCACGTTCCCGGCGTTTCCCAGCATTTCCTTAGCGGTAGCCTCGATTTGCTCATTCATTCATCCATTCATTCACTAGGGCGCCCACCGCTCCTTTGATCCCTCCCGAATTTAGTTCGAGTTTCTTGAGTGTCAATCCGTTTGCAAACCCGAGCAACCCTCTGGCCTTCTCGACTTGTTCCAGCCTTGATTAAAACCTCACAATGTTAATTGACGGCGAGAAATGGGCTTGCGAAGCCTGTGTTAGAGGACACCGGGTTAGTAATTGCCAGCATGCAGGTGAGTAGTGAGCGCTATCATTACCGCATTTCTAGTTATTACTTCGATTTCCCTCCCCCCCCCTCCATTTATCAAGCCCATTTACAAGAACCCCCGCGGGGCAGCGCATGTAAGTCAATTATCGGCGCTCAAGGGAAGACAGAAATTATAGCAGAGACAAGGCAAGGGAAGGCTCGGACATATTTTTTCTTTCTTTCGTTCTTTCTTTTTATTTTACGACTGTGCATTAAATTACTGTGATTGGGAATATACCACTTACACATAGTCGCAATCCGTCTAGATCGACCGCTTCAGCACATCAACAAGAAAGGTCGACCCGTGTCGCAATGTCAGCATTGCCGCGCGATGCGCAAATCTCGGTCGTCTCATGTAAAATGCGACTGCGGCGAGAAGACGCACAAATGCGCCCATCTGAAGCAGACAGTTGAAGGACACAAGGGTGAGGCATCCCCCCCAATCTAAAGACGCCCTTCAAAATTATTCCTATCATATTCCTATTATATATAAAAGACCTACGAGTCTGACCTTGAAGTCTATTTGCCGGTCTAGACAGTTGCTGTTGTAATCACGGAGGACGATGCACATGTTCGCATAAGAAAGAACCCGCGCTCGATACCGTCCCAGAGTCCGATTCCGAAGCGGAAACAGATGCTCAACCGGCCAAGCCCAAGGCTACCCCCCGGCGACGGCGTACGAATACGGCGCATTCCGAGCCCATCTTGAGCTTTGACGAGAATGGCCACCACAAACCTCCGCAGAGGCATACAAAGGCCTCGCAGAAGAGCGGTCCCTACACCATAAATCGCGGCTCGTCCATGCATAGGACTGGTAGCTCGAGTAGCCTCGGAACCAAATCCGTCGACCGATCCCGAACGACGGGCTCTTCCTCACCTGATAGAGAAACGCGGATGGCCAAATCTGCGCAAGCGTCGCCTTCGATCGAAGGGAACTCGTCGTTCCAGCATCTCAATGGCCAATTGCCGCCATTGGACCTTTCGAACATCCGTTACTCCGAGTACTCCTCGTTCGACCTTTTCTCGGGTGTCTCCGATTACGAACCACCCATGTTCAGCGCAGGTCTTAGCGCGGCGTCGGTCGATTGGGCGCAATACGACGGCTTAGAGCTGAAGGGTGAAAGCTTCACACCCTCGAGCTTTGACCAGACGCAGTCGTACATGGGACTCGACTTCGGTGGCTCTACAGAGCCGACTCTAACCTCCAATTCGGGCGATGTGTCCGAGACGGAAGACTTGGCCTCCGCATTCAGCGAGCCGCAGTTTGACGGCTACGGCAACAGCGCCGCGAGTAGCTATTTAGCCATGTCACAAAGCATACTTACCGATAATGACCTGAGTAACCTCGACTTTAACCAGTTCAAGAATACGACGGCCGCGAGTAAGCTGCTCTCTAACCAGTCCTCGTTTGACGAGGGAAGCTCTGTCTTCCCTCTCATGGAGGACGACTCTATCTGGGGTATGAGCAATTTCACCGACGGCATCACGCACTCGCCGGATCCTGTAGCATCCGGCCTGTGGGATACCGCATAGACCAGGTCGCCATCACATCTCTGTGTGTGACTACGGGGCGCATACGCCCGGTGATAATATACATGCCGGCAGGCTCCGACAATGTGGGACTTCAGCGTTTTGATTTCTCGCGCTGCATTCTTCTTCAATCATGATACCACGCGCTTTATGATAAACTTGAGCTCTTGTTACATCCATCGTATACCCCTTAGGGAGTCTAGTTTCGCGCTCTCATTTTTTTTTCTTTATTTTTCTGCTGTCGATTCAGTTTATTCTGATCATAGCTCTCATCAAACGGACAAAGGCGCGGATTTGCGAAAACCTTTTTTTTCGGCAGGGGGGGGGGGGGGGAGACTTGGCATTTCTGTTCTCTGGGTAGCAGAGC